GAATTTGTTGCTGTCCAGCCCCCAAGAAGCCACCACTTACTGTCCACTTCCTCTCAAGCCCTCAAAAGACCACTGGAGCTTCGTATAACTTCTCTCTTTAGGGAAACTCTCCCTCCAACTCTCTTATTTTCTTACTTTACTTCTCAATTGTGGTTATATTTTGATCCATGAAGATCATGATAATTGTTCTCTGCCAAAGCTTAGTAAACGTAGGGAATGAGTGACGGACTTTTATGCATCTAATCTCGTTGTTAAGCTAGGGATGTTATTGGAAATCCTCTATATTTGTTTATGTTGAATTTTCTAATTGTTTTGTGATCCTAACTATTATTGTGTGACTTGGCCTAAGCTAAGGCAACCCTTTCTTGTTTTCTATTTTCGATAAGCGGCTAATATTTTAATTCTTATTGCTCTTACGTGAAAGCGTGCAAATTCCTTAATCAAATCATTTTTGCATTTATGTCATGCATCAGCATACCTCACTGGAGCAAGTCATGGTGCAAGCCGATATCCTCTCACCTTGCAAAAGCGATAAAATGGAGGGATGGAGTGAGCTGTTGTCCAAACTGCTCTGAAAGTTGCATTCACTATCACGAGCTTGCCGGAGTTGCTGGAAGAAGAAGAAGAGGATGAGCTTCTTGCTTTCTGCTGATTAAAGAGGAAGAAAGACACAACAGGCCCTAATCAATGATTTTGAAGGGTTGAAATGACTAACAATAGCAGCAAAGAGCTTCCAACTGGACTTTTGAGAGATGTAGGAAGAAGAAACAAGGCAGCAGCTATAACACTCTTCTAATTTCTCCTTAGGTGAATGCAAGAAAAACCCTCCAAAGCCTCAACCCCTTTTCTCTCTTCCTCGATCCAGATCACGCGCACGAGAAGCCTTATCCGATCCTTTCTGGTTTCGTCTTCAGCAAGCACATATAAGGCCTCTGCTCTGCTCAAACACCATAAATGCATGATCGATCGCAGTCGCACGCAAAAAGAGCCTTGATGCTCGATTGGACTCCCTTAGGAAAGGTTGCACACACGTAAGTAAAACCACTCGCCCAGCTCTGCTCCCTCCGTTACCTCGACTCCTCCAAACGAACGAAGCATAGAAGAGCTACTTGGCTCCCCCTTTCCCCTCTCGGTTTGTGACTCATGCAAGAAGCAAAGAAGCACGCACGCATGAGCACCCCAGCCTGACCTCCCTTGCTTTCTTTTTTGTTATTTCAAAGCACGCAGGAAGGAAGAAGACCGAATGGCCACCCTGCTCTCTTGACTAAAAGGAAACACCCCATGAAATGAAATTTGAGAGGACCCAATGGAAGGGAAGCACGCACGAGAAAACCGAATGAGCTGCCTATGCAATTTCGTGGATTAGAAAAGATTTTTCTGAGCTCAACCTCCTGCTGCGGGATTTGACGAGAAGAAGCACTAACAGAGAAAGAAAATCAAGAAGATCAAAGCTGCTGGACAATTGGGTTGATTTGGAAAGTCAAATTGAGCTTGATTTTGAATCAATTGGGTTGATTAAGTTGAATTTGACTCGAATCGAACTCAATTTGAATCGATTTGCGTTCAAATTGGCTCGATCGAGTTAATTAGAAAAAATCAGACTTGAATCAACGCCGATTTGAGTCAAATTGGGTTCGATAAGGCTCAATTGAGTTGATCGGGTTCACTCGAACCTGATCGGGTTTGATTCGACTTGGTTTAAGTTGAGTCAACATGAAAATTGTGTCAGCAAGAGGGAAATTGATAAGTCCCTACAAAAATAGATAAATCAATTACTCATAGTCATCTAGACAATTGTGCAAAGATTCATGCAATTATAATCCGCATGGAACGAGGGTAAAAGAAAGGTACTTTTAAATCTTGGCCATTGGATCACTTCAAGATGCATGAAGGCCATTTCATTAATGTCATAAAATCAAGCATAGATCCTATACATAAACCAAAAGATCTAACAATCCAACTCAAATTGCAACCAACACCAATCTCAGCAGTAATCCTATGACCCAATTACAATTATCAACCACATGGATCTCAAAGCTCCAAGGCCTCATCCATCCATAAGTCACCACTAGGGGCAAAGTGATATAACTCCAATCTCAAAAATAAGGTACCTCACTACTTAATCCTTCTTTGACCAAAGGATAAAAATACCAGTTAACAAAAAAATTTCCATCTAACATGGACATCAAAGATAAAATGTTTCCTCCATCTGCCAACCAACCTTACAAAAGTGTCAGACTAGCCTTCGCCCTAAAATATATAAATACTCCTTTGGGAAACATAGATAAATTCTAAAACCTTTGAAAATCATTTCAATTCTCTTAATTCCCTTAGGAAAGATTTAGCTGTGACCGCATTTCATATGTTTGCAATCCCACGTACTAACTTAAGTGTTAAATAGACTTATTAGCAAAAATACTCCTCCGAGCATACTCACATTTTCTTTGATTGTGTGCACAAGAAGCAAATGATCAATGCGAATGGCATATCCTATATTCAAATGATCTCCATCAACTTCCAACCATTTTCAAGTTGCAAAAAGCCAAAAACATTCTAGTATCTCCCGGGGTCAAAGATCACTAAGACTATAGTCATATGGGCCTATACGGTTAGGCTAAAGAAATCTTTGGCTTGTTCGTCTTCTACACTTTGTGTCCTTAGTATGATCTAGGGGTGGGTCCACTTGATATATTCCATTAATGTCCATGATCCACTAAGCAACAGTAGTCAACTGTTTCCAACTTTCTCACATTATTCTTGTTACGAAATTTACATATGTTTCAAGAAATTTTAATTATTATGCCCCTTAAATTTGCAGTATGATAAGGCATTATATTGATTTTTTTTTCATATCCATTTCTTTGCCCTTAATTTTCCATTTAGTTTGGTATTTCTTATCTTTTGTTCCAAATTTGAGCTTATTTCATCCTTCAATTGCAAGGGATTCGGAGCTAACCTCAATTCAATGGAAAAAATATCACTCTCCAATAAAAAGTAATCCAAAGCAAAAGCTTAACTACATAAATCTATAGAGTACTATTACATAAGCTGCTCATATCTTTGGCTCAGTTATTGCCACTAAAGCCATTTATCACCTCTGTAGTTAATGGGCTACAACTAAACATTCAATAAATCTTTAAATTGCAACCATGTAATCCTAGATAGGACATCTCAGAATGTTCAAAGGCAATGTTACTTCATATGGCGAAGTTTTTTGGACAGTGAATATAAGTTATAGACCAATATTTAAAACAAATACAGAAAGAAGTTTGTTTCTATGAAATAGTTCTATTTTTTTAGGCTAAGATTTCAAAAAAAGGGAGATCAGTGCTATTTGGCGATCATTTATTGTCATAATTGTTGTTGACTCTTTTGTTTCTAATAAAGAAGATAGATTATGATTTCCGCATAAAATCAATCAAAAGTTTGTATAAATCCTTACAACGGATTGCAAGATGTTATTAACTCTAAATAATGTAACATTGAGGCCATAGGAAAAAATTTGGTTATAGAGGCACGGTTAAAACTTAAACAGTGAAGATTGCAACTAACCGTATTATGGCAAATAAAACTGGAATTACTGTATCAAATTTTGCTAAATTAAAGATCTTAAACTAATAGAGAGGTAGGTGCCTTAAGCTTTTGATATCACAATTACTTAGATTAATGTTCAATCTCCATGATGAATGGAACCACAAGAGACTTCATAGGCTTTTGATTTGGCATTATGATGTGCATAAATCAAAATCAAATTGTGGTCTAAAGAGATGTAGATGCCTTAATTGATTATGGCCATTCTCATCCTCTATGCCAATCATTCCTCATTATCTTCCTCAGGCATCCTCAAAACCTTACCACGGCTAGTGGTAGGAAAAACCTTGCACTTTTGAGCGACCAATGTCTTCAAGATAGCCATTAAAGTTCTCTAATTTAACAAACTTATATGTCAAACTCTTAGTATTTAGTTCATGGTTTCACCTTCAGTTGCTGACAACTCTTCTACCTTTCTAGCACAGCTTTGATATCAATTTATGATCCAAATTCACTAAGGACAATCAATGTTAAATCTCGTCAATGAACATGGCCACAAACAATTTTTTGAGCTTTTGATATAGCGGAGTTAAAGACCACACAATTAATAATTGAATTATAATCTAGAGGAAATATAACTCAATCTTTTCAAGACAATGACCTAATATATAAAAGAAATAACAACTAGAGTATGTTATTAATAGCAAATAAGGATTCATAAAAATCCCAAGGTTATGTAACTATTTGGCAAAGCCAAAAGAAGTGAAAAATAGTAGTGGTAGGAACAACCTTTTTCTTTAAGGTAACAATGCCTTCAAATAGCTATCAGTTCAACAAGATTGGACATAGGCTTCTCTAATTTAACAATCTCACATTTCAAACTCTTAGTGCATTGCTCTTGAATTTTTCCTTATGTTGTTTTCAACTCTTCATCCTTAGCATGATTTTGAATTACGGTTCTAGTTTTAACCATGGTGAATAAAATCTTCAATTTCCTTATCGGATGGGAAGTGGGAACTATGCCCTCATACGAAATTATGGTTAAAATTCATCGAAAGATCAATAGGGCAGAAATGGAGATTTTATTTTTAATATTGCGGAGATAGATGAACAAAAATAAGAATTGAAATGGAATCTAAAAAGAATATAACTCAATCTTCCCAAGTCATTGATATGATAGATAACAACATAACAAAAAGTGGATGATACGTTAGATACAAAAACACTAAAGAAATCTTAAATTTCTTAAGGCCTCTTGGATCAAGAAATATTAAATTTGATATAGCCTTCATTCATTTACCTCAAGCATAGAACATGCACATTTTCTTTGAAAATTTTGAAAAAATTTTAAATCAAAATTAATAGTTCAAATTATCAGGATAAGTAATCAGTTCGGTACTTGAACCTGCTTTGATAACAAAACCAGTTCATGCTAATATGTCCTGAAGCTAATATGCGAGCATAGGCACCTGTTGATGAACATCTGTCATGGACATCGTTAGATACAAAAACACTTTGATTGTGGCCAAGACAACTGCACTATTAGCATGTTGAAGTCTATCCTCCAGAAGGTTCATTATGTCAAATATCTCATTGCTATCAGATGGTATGTACTTAGAGGCTAATTCAAGTATCAAGCATTGTGCCCACTCATTGAACTCCTTGATCCTGCATACATAAAATGGTATATGTGAAGGCACATTCCAAATTTACAAATATAAATTTGAAAAAGAAAAAGCAAAAAAGCTTATTAATAGAAAGAAAAATGTAACCACATAACATGGTAGGGCAAATAAATTAGTTTATGGGGTGGGGGTTCAAGTCTATTTGTTTGAGATCATCATCATTAGCTTTATCCCAACCATTTGGGCTCAGTGTCATGAATCCATATTTTTTATTCATTCATATTAAATTTTCTGAGTGTTAAGCATATCATTCACAAATTATTTTGAACAACTTCTATCTATGTAATCTTAGGTTTAATATTTTTTATTCATAAATTTTTATGCTAATTTTATAAAGTTGTCTAACAAACATATTTTCTAGCCTTCATTGTACATGTCAAAACTAAGTCTATTTCCAATAAATCATTCCAACATTTATTATAAATAAATCATTCATTAATTTATTATTTCTTATTTTGCCATATATCTATTTTACTATTTTTATTTCTATCACAAACAATATATACATCAATGATTTACAATCAAACAATTAAATCCAATAGCATCATTGGCCTAATTTATCTTTTACAAACTTTATTTATAAGCCCTTGAACTTATTATAAGCCTCTATAACATCCTATTATCACACAAAACTTCTAAGACACTTCTTCGTTTTAACCATGAAGTCTTAACTCTAGAAATTATATCCTCATCTATATTTTCCTGCTTATATGTAATAGATGAAAGGTACATAAACCTATCAAACTTCGATATCACTTTTATCTTCTAATATTGTTGAATGATAATTATTAGTATCATACCTAAAATTGCATAATATATGATAAGTCGTTGTTTTACTAAATCCAAGGCCTTATATTCTAAGAATTTCCTCAACATTTCTAATGTTTAACTTATTTTAATGAAGGCTCACTCCACACAATTATATTATATGTAAAAAGTACAAACCAAAGCACCTTATTTTGAAACATCCTTATAAGCCTCTTCATAACTAATTTTTAAAAGATATAGGCTCAATATTGATCATTATTGAAAATCTATTATAACTTAAAAATTTTAGGCCATTCGACAACTTTTTATAATAGGCAATACTTCATCATACATATTTTTAATAACACCAACACATCATTGATGTACTTTTTCACCTTTTAAAATACATCAAATCAATTCTCATGTTAATTATATGATTTCTCAGAAATAATAAAAAACATATAAAGAAAATTTCTTTGTTTTATATTTCTTCAGTAATTGCCTTAACAACAAAATTTGCTTACATAGTAAATACTTCTACGTGAAACATAATTAATTCTTCAAAATTGATATAATTCCTCTAACCCACTATTCTACTACTCTCCCATAGCTTCATTGATAAGAACAACAATATCCCATATAACTCTCAAATTCTCAATAGATTTCTTGTTATAGACCTAAAGTGTAACATTTATGAATCTTTTTTAAAAAATAACTCCACTTCACTTGTTGTTTCAATCTATAATATATTTCATTATGCTATTCATTATTATCTTCAAAAATAACTTTGTATCTCAAAGCTCCCACTACGTAATTTCTCAATGTAGTATTTCCATCTTTCCTATGTCTTCATATCTAACCAAGATTCTCTTTATTTCACTTCTAATGTATAGAACTTCATCAAAATCAATAGATCACTTTTCTCTTACTTCAACTATTCTATAAATCATAATTTCTCCTTCCTTAATATTATACATATTACATAGATGGTCAAAATTATAATTTTAGCTTTAATTAAGAAAATTAGTCAAAAAATATTGTTATTGAAATTAATATATCAAATTAAAAAATACCAAACATTTTATGTGTAAGGCAAGCTTTCTGCTTTAAAGCTTCATTGAAATATAATATATGATTATAAAGTTTTACAAACACTATAAATGTGCCATGTTAAACGGTTCAAATTTTCACAAATTAAATATACATAATAATTGCAGAGCTATAGAAGATAACAAGAAATGAAGTCAAACATAACTACGAATGTAGAGAATCCTAAACCTTAAAGTTCCATGAAACAGAAGAGTATCATTATCCAATTGTACATGGACTTGCTCAATGAGCCAAGATAAATTTGTCCCTAAATCACTACGCGTCAAATCATGTATGCATCATATAGAAAAACTAAAGGAATCCACCACATCATCAAACAAATTGCAAGAGCAGCAAAAAGATACCAATAATATAGATCATCGACTTTAAACGTATTGTGATTGAAGCAAAGCAATGATTTTTTATGATTTATATAATAAACATGATGCTAAGAAAAGAAAAAATCATATAAAATAACTAAGATATGAGATAAACAATCTTAGAATTTTAATCAAGATAGATGTGTTAAAAGTGAAGATAATGAAAATATTAGTTAAAAATTAAGAAATCAAGAAAATATAAATTACTTTGAGAAATTATTAAATGAGAGCTTTAAAGATAAAAAATTATTTTGAAAGAGGTCGAAAAAAATGTGTATTATAAATTGATCTAAAAAAGTTAAGATGAGTTAGCTTTGAAAAGGATGAAGAAATATAAAATTTTATGTCCACGTGAGAAACCTATTGATTTGTGATATTGAAGTGATCTATTGAGATTTGGGAAATTGAAGTGATTGGCTAGTAGATACTTTCATAGAACGTTTTAGGCTAAGATGATGTCAAATAATTGTAAGAGAAGAATATTGGCACCCAATCTTTAAGAACAAGAGTGATAGTCAAGATTATGCTAATTATAAAAGGCGAAAACTTAAAGATTCATATAATAAAGTTATTTGAGAGAATAACTTAATATAAGCTTAGAAAAATTACAACAATTTTGGATAGCCAGTTTGTTTTCATGCTATTAAGAACTACTATAAAAATAATTTTTGTGTTAAGACAATTAACAGAGAAGCAAAAAGAACAAAGACAGGATATATTCATTAGATACTTATTGATATAAAAAAGTCATATGATCAAGTACCCTAAAAAACTGATTTAGTGTACTTAAAGCAAAAAAGATGTTTGTCAAAGATATGTTGTCATTATTAAAGATATGTATAATAGAAAACAAGTTCATATTAAAAGGAGTTGTGGAGTGATACAAAAGTTTTTAATTACAGTAGGTTTACTTCAAGGATTAGCATTAAGTCTATAACATTTTGTATTGGTTAAAAAACAGTGATAAAAGATATTCAAAACAAGGAGCTTTGGTGTGTGCTTTTTGATAATAATATAATTTTAATTATTTTAGGAACCAATGAAAAATAGAAAAAATAAAGAAAATTTTTAAAAGATATAGGCATTAGAATTAATAGAACAAAGACTTAATAAATGATATGCAATTTTAGTGGTATGATGCTAACAATTATCATTCAATATTATTAGAACATAAGATTATACTTAAGTGTGATTGGTTTAAGTATTTCAAATCTATTGTATAAAGAATAGAGATAACGATGAGAATATAGATAGTTAAAATGGATAATTGGCTTAAGAGTTTTGCATGATGAGAGGATATAATTGAGGCTTAAAAATAAATTCTATAAAAACACAATTAAGTTGGTGATGTTATATGGATCCAAATGTTGAGTTGTGTAAAATCCATTGATATCTAGGTTAAGTATGGCAGAAATGAGAATGTTAAAGATGGATATCTCATAAAATTAGAAAGATAAATTAAAAAAAGATTAAATGAGAGGAAATGTTGGAGTGATGTCAATTGACGATAAGTTGACTAAAAATAGACTTTGGTGATTTATAGCGGTTTTGACATATATAATGATTTGTAAAAAAAAAAAAACTAGCTAGATGAGTTGTAAAATTATGAATCAATGGGTTAGGAAGAAAAAGGGAGTAGACATAATGTTACATGGATAGAAGTTGTTCAAAATGATTTGTGAAGAATATATTTAATACCTCAAATAACACTCAATAGAAACAAATGAAAAATAAGAATTCATAACTCTGACCCCAAATAATTGAGATGAGGGCTGATGATTATTGGAAATTATATAATCACACCACAACTACTTATAATATTACACGTTTTCGATCATACATATTTTTAATTACTCCATATATTTAACACGTGGATTTTCTCCTCAATACCCATCAAATCAATTCTCACAATTCTAGATCAAATGCTATTTCAAGATCAACGAAAATCCTTGTGTTCATTATTCTTTTCTTTAAACTATTGTAGTACAAAAATCACACCTATAATATATCTTCATGGTAAAAACACTATCATGAATCTAAATATTTAGTGGCACACTGCATACGCATATAATAGGGAATTCTGAAGTTTGTCTCTGTGGGGTGTAAAACATGAATGATGTCATGGGTTGGCTAAAGCAAAAGTGCCAATTGAAATTTAAAAGTTTATTATAGTGAAAAATAAGTGTGCATGCATTAGCTTACTATATCCAGTTCTTTATTTTCTCTCCCATGACAGGCACATCAATCCTAATTGCAAATCATACAGTAGATTTCGAGTTGAATGAGGCAAGAGGCAACTTGGCATTCATTAAATCCAGCACCAAAGTTTTGCTTTATTCAATGTTGTAAAGTTAAAAAGATAAAATTTAACCAGAAAATAATGAGTTCTAACATAAAAACTACAGACCTGTTCAGGAGATAGTAAACAACCTGCTTGCTTAGTAAAGCCTCTCTCTCCCGGGACACTGCCTCTAAATTACCAGCTTCCAAACTCCATATCTCCTGCAGAGAGGACAGGCAATTCGCAACCACCTGCCAGTTGACAATCAGCAAAACATTAACTAAGACAATGACGTGCTCCAAAATCAAGCTCCTCTCCTCATAGTCTCATACTCCAGTTTCCATTTCCTCACCTGTGCATCCGGGTCATTGAGCATGAGGGCCTTTAGCATGGCTAGAAAATCTGAATCGAGGCATGTAGAAGGGGAAATATGGTAGAGCTTGAGGACTCCAATGGCAGCGACCATCCGCACGTAGGGACTGCTGTCTTTAAGCCCTGTCGTCAGCGGGGAGACAAGGTACTCGACAAGATTGGCAACCCGAAGAGAGCAGAGGCTGCGCAGAGCAAGGCCACGGATCATGGGATCATCGTCCCGGCAATCCTTCTGGAGAAAGTTGATGGTGAGAAGGGCAAGATCAGGGTTGGATCTGGCGTAGTTGCAGACATAGAGGTAGCACATCTTCTTAAGGACTACGTCCGATGTGGCGGAGCACATCACCATCTCACTGAACGCAGCGGAGACGTCGATCCCGACGGTCATGAACGAGATGACCTTCTTGAAAATCTCCCGCCGGGAGTCGTCCGAGCCCGGGGCGATGCTGCCGGCAAGCTGCCGGAGTTGGAGCTTCAGGTCGGCGACCTCGCTTTTCCTAGAAGGAGAAAAAGGGTTAAAGTTTAGGAAGATGGAAGAGACAGGGATGAAGGATAATTGCCGTTGTGTAGATGATGAGCGTTAGGGCTTACCCTGAGGGCTGAGAGGGAGAGGAAGTCTTCGGCAGGTTGGGTACCGGTGGCGCCATTCCCGATCGTCGGAGTTGGCAGTCTGCACTGCGATACGAACTACTTACATTATGGACTACTGGGATCAGGTAAGGACCGAGGGCGCTCGGCGCTGAGACCGGTCCGGTGAAATCTGGACGAGGGGTGTGATCACGCTTTGAGTTTGGGTCGAATTCAAAAATGATCCAGTACTATTTGAGTCAATTCAAATCTGATCCGTTTTTCAAACAAGTCTATTTTACCGGATCCGAACCCGATCCGCTTTGGGTTCAGGTCAACCCGACCCAACCAGCGAACACGGTAAGGCCGCGAGCAACTTCGCAGCATCGGCGAGCCTTCAGCGCGGCAGAAGCGTCCGGCAGCAGCGACATCCGGCGTCCAGCGGCAGCAGGTCACGCGGGGGATGCGACGCGATCAAGATTCACGCGGCAGGATGCGACGCGAGGCTAATAAAAATGACGTAAAGCGACAGCGGGCAGCGGTCATGCGGGGGGCAGGTGAGTCAGCGGGGCAACTCGGTCACACGGGGCCGGGCAGGTGTCAGGCGGTCAGCGCAGCGGGGCAGCTCAGTCAGTGGGTCGAATTGGGTCATTTTCGGGTTTCTGGGTCAACCCGAACCCGACCCGATTTTTAAAACGGGTCGAAAACTATAACCCGAACCTGACCCGGTTCAGGCTTGGGTTGAC